TTGCCTCCAAAAATGAATCAAAAATCCACCAGGAGAGATCAATCTGAGGACCAGAAAGTAGATGGAAATTTTCCATTTCTGGAGAACACCATGGGCTCCTATCTGTTTAGGATGGTTTCCTCGGATAACGGTGATGGAGCTACAGAGATAATTATGTTTGCTTTCTTTCACCTTGTTGAGATTTCTCTTACCTGTCCACTACATGTGCACGCCCCTGCTTGCCACATCTTCGCCCTTCTTTTCCAGGAAACCTCGTGTATGTTTCCTGCCACGCGGAAACATCAGTCTCCTGGAAGCACCTGCCAGTGACTGTCTCCTTCTTCTATCCTCCGGGGAAAGAATTAATTTTCTGTCCCTGGCGGCTACCTCCTCTTCTCCACCCTAACGAGCTATTCCTATCCAAAGAGCTTTGTGGGCCCTCCTGGGGAAGGGGGATCCCACTGCACATCACCTGAACGCGGGACATCTCAGCACAGCCTTGGCGGCCACGCAGCAAACACCTCTCCGCTTACAGAGGGTCCTGGCGCTTTTGCCCACTGGGACATGTTTTTCTTTAATCTCTTAAGGTATTGAAATAGTCTTGATTTGTACAGGAGGGAGAATGCCCTCCACCTCTTTTCTTGGAGGAGGTGGGGGTGGTATTAGAGTGCTTTTCCCTCCAAAGTCAGCCGAACGGAAATTCCTCTAAAGCGCCCTTCCAGCCTCACATTTCGTCCCTCCCCACATCTCCCCGCAAGGAGAATATGGGACCAAGTGGTCTCGGAATGAGTGGGTGGGAGGAGGCGGCGCAATTTAGTTCCTTGTCCTTCCAGGATTTCCCAGTCTCCAGCTGCGGCTCTGATCACCCGCTGCCGCAGTCCCTGGCTGGTTCTCTTAAAGCTCTGCGCCTTTGCAGCTTTCTGGGACCCCTCCTTTGCTCCTGAGCCCCCGCCCCTGGACCGGGCAGTGCGCTCCTGCACCTTCCCGGTCCTCCTCCTCCTCCTCGTCCTCGGGCAATGGAGCCTCTCGGGGCCGCCGGAGGACCCGGCCCGTGCCGGTCACCCTCTCGCCTGCTTCTCGCTCCCTGTCACCTCCACGCAGGCAGGTCTGCCTTGCAACCCGCCTGCTCCCCAGGGGCCCCCGGTTCCGGGCCAACAAACTTCTCCCGGACTCCGCAGCGCCCCGGCGGCCCGGGCGCGGGACCGAGGGGACCGGGCTGCGGGAGGAGAGGCGGCGGACGCCCCGTGGGTGGCCCAGTCCCGGGACCCCGGCTTCCCGGGGAGCGCCACGGGTCGGATCGGCCGGGCCCGGAGCCGCGCACCGCCCCGCTGGACAGCGTCCCGGGACAGGCAGGAACCCGGGCGGCACCGAGGTGCCCGGTGCAGAGAGCCCGAGGCGGGCATCACGCGTGTCCGTTTCGCCTGGCGTCCGCTCCGCTCCGCGATCGGCTTCTTGCGCGCAGCCAGCGAAGCCCCGGGGAGCGAGCGCCGCGCAGGCCGCTGTCCCTGCGCCGGGACCTGGGAAGGTCCCAGCGTGCGCCGCCGAGGACCGGCAGGTGCGCACCGCCAGCCCGGGCGGCCGCGTGGCCCGCGCAGTTTGCGCTTTTGCCGGAAAAGCGGATGCTCGCCGTGGGCGACCCCGAGGCGGTGGGCGACCCCGAGGCCGTGGGCGCTGGAGAGGCCGGCGGCGCCACTTACCTCGGGCGCGCGGCCGGGCCCCGCGAGTGCGCCCCGGGCTGAGGCCCCGCGCTCCCTGAGAGTGGGCTCGGGGGCGCATCGCTGCCCTTATTAGTCTGCGCTGACCCTCCCACTCGGGGACGCGGGCAGCGGGGCGCCAGCCACTCGCG